ACCTCCTATGAATTACATCAGAATGCTAGGAAGAAAGCAATGTTCAGTCAAACAGTACATAAACTTTCCTCTCCCACTCTCCTCTCCCTCACCATCCCTTGAGAGACGCAACAGTCTCCTTAACTTTACAGCTTTTAGAGATCAATGTGATTTGAAAAGACTCTGGTGTAAAATCCTGGATAGAGCACCGTGGTGACCTACAAGAAGAACATCTATCAAGGGAGTCAGGTTATTTGTGCTTAAACTGATTTTATTAAGCCATGAAATTTACAGTAAGAAAAAACCACATGATTTTTCCAGCCCTTTATGGATTCTACAGTTGTTGCCCTTCTGAATTTTCACAGAAAGCACCACGTAGCTATCGTAGCTGAAACAGCCAAAGTACTTATGTTAGCTTTCTTCTCATACAAGGAATATTCTTTAATAAGAACAGGGGTATTTCCAACAGCTCAAATATATAGTCATGTTCATTTAAACAGACTACAAATTTGAGGGGGTTATCTTAAATATTTGGTTAAAACATCTGAAACACATTTTGAGCGGCAACTTATTTACATACAGAAATTATTTAATTTTAGTTAACTATTCCCATCTATACACTGAAGCTACAAATACACAACCATTAATCCTAGAACTATAACCTAATATTATATCCAAAACATTTTGTATCTTGCCTTCAGCCAAGTATGTGTTGTTTTTAATGAACAGCCTTCAAGGGACCTCTGGGACACAATCTGCACCAGCATGTTCCTTTTTCAAGTCTTAAATTTGTGCAAATAGTTATCTCCTGTCACGAGCAGCTTGTGACTGGGATCGGCAGTTACAGTTACTCCAAAGATCACTAGAGGTCTCACTAAAGTTGGGGGACGACTGCAGATGCAAACGTGAGTGTTCCTTCTCATTCACAACTATCCAATGACCAAGCATTTCTTTCATGTTTCGTTTTGTATTTTCAGAATTTCAGCACAATGCCTAAAATATTTCTGTAGCTTCTCATTTTAAAGGCTTAAAGGGTCCATCTGGCACCCTGCTGCACTGCTGCCCAATGTAGCAGAAGCTAGGAAAAATGAAGGTAAGTATAATGTTAACTTCTCTTTGTACAACTTTCCATCTTCTGATAAGCAGCGTCGAAGAATATCCTCTATTTGCACTCAGAATGCTGTCTGCAACAGACGCCTTTGGATCAATTATGCATTTGCCTATGTAATGTTTTTCTGAACCAATTTAAATTTCTGGCCTCCACAAGATCCTGTGGTGGTGACTCCTACAATTAATGCAAGTGTTAAAGGAAAATCTCTTTTTAAATATTTTTTCTCTATTTTTTTGTTCTTTAGATCATTACTTAAACATTTCATAGAGTGCCTCCTCATTCTTACAGCGCAACAGCAGAAAATATTCCTTCCTTACTCACTTTACCTATATCACTCTTCTCCAAGATGAGGAATCTTTGTCTCTTCAGGCATGTGAAAGCTATTCCATCCCTGTTGATCATCCTTTCTCACCTTCCTCTTAATTTTCTTTTTTTTTCTGATCTATTGTACCTTCTTCACATAAGTGAAATGCTGCTTGAAGTGTTCAAGATGTGCAAAACAGGTTCATACCATGACTGAACAGTGGTTTCTCATTTGCTCTCTGTTCCTTTTCTAATGAATTCTGCCATTCCAAAGGATTTAATTATTAATAAATTGGACAATAGAAGTGTCCCATTTGCTTCAGCCCCATCTCTTCCAATCTAATTGCTATAAATTCAGTTAGGATTAATTCTTCCTGAAGCTATTACGGAATTAGTAGCATTTAGTACTTGAAAAAGTAGTAACGTAATTTCTGTCACTATCAGATTTTTAAATTTTCTCACATCTTTTGTCAAATATTTACTTGACTGCTTATACTAAGAGAGAAATAAAAGAATAAATAAAAATTTTCCTGCCATCCAGAAAGGCTGTCTGTGAGCATCTGCACAATACAGTTGTTGTCTGGGTTAAGACGAATTCATCTACATGCCCATACAAGTACATGTGCATCTCCTGTCATCAAGCTACAGATTTCTGTTAACAACTTAACACTGTTTGTTTTTCTCTTGTGCTTGCAGCCCGTGGTGCAATTGCACGTAGTCATCTGCAAGGGGTCCTTGATACTGAAATTGCTCAACTTCTGTAGATATTGGGTTAGGAAAAACTCATATCAATCAATACCTTCTTTGAACATGGATATGGCAGTGCCCAGGAAACAAAAGCTGTCAATATGGCTTTTGGATATGTTTTCACTGTCACATATACACATAAAATGAAGAATTCAACATTACTCCTATACTCCTCAAGCATTTCATTTTGGATTTTTTTTAAATTAGAATTTCAGTGACTATTTTGCCTCTTTGAAAACGAACTTTTGAAGAGATTTTCATCCAGATAGATCCAGATTCTTTGACTCCTTGTCTTTTGGAATATTACAGTCATGCCAGAAGAGATGAAAAGCAGAATTGTGGATGTTCCAGTATCTGTCTGGAAAACAGGTAATTCCTAAAGATAGCAATAGGACAGTAGAAGACTACCATTTTACATCATCTTAGCTAGAAAAAAATTATTTTCCATATAGACAATGTGACTTACAATAAATCTGTAAACATGTCTGAGAGACCTCCAATACTAAGGTAGTTCTTCTCAAGAACTGTCTACTAGGAGCAGTCCTTTAGACTTTATTCTTCAATCCAGGAAGATGCTCCATTTTCAACTCTGTCTTTTAGTTTTGGACAGGAGAAAAAATGAATGCTGCTTTTTCACACAGGCAACTGAACAATATTGCTGCTTGGCAAACTGGTCTATTTTAAGCTTGGAGACTGCTGTACTATGGTTATGCTTTCCAGATACAATTTATAAGAAAATAAGGGAATTGTATATGGTGGAGAACATCCTTCAGAGAGGAAGCAGAAGTACCAGATTTGACTGCAAGCTACAAAAAGGAGCTAAGAGAAAATATGTCACCACACCCTTTTATGTCTTAGGTCACAAGTTTGAGGAGATGCAGAACACGTGGTCATCCCTTACAGATGCCTGCTGGCAATGGGTGTGCACAAATTAATCCTGATATGGCTATATTCCACAGTTTTGAGAAGACCAGTGATTAGTGAGGAAAAATAAAGAAATTGACCGCGGCTTCCTCATTGTGATCATTTCAAGATACAACCATCGTAACTTACTCCATTTAGGGACATATTCTGCATTAGATATCGGAAGTGTCACACCTATAATCCTTTTTTTGTATTCTTTGTCGTCTGTTGCATATTAAGAACCTTTTATGTCAGATATTTGTGTATATGAAAACATAAAGACAGCTTACAACCTAAAATAATTCAGACATCTTAATATCTCATCATAAAGCAAAAAGGCATAGATAGAGTACAAAAGTACAAGAGTGTTCAGCAACACTGTAGAAACTGGAATTTTCCTATGCCTTCTAAATTAGTAACTAGTAAATTAGCAACTTTCACGCTTATATGTGTGAAAATCAAGCCTTAAAAATTGATTTAAAGTCAATAAGCATGTGGATAAGAATGACATAGCTGATATATTCTACTTGAGTTTCTAAAGAGCTTCATAGAAATTTCCTTTAAGGGCTCTTAAATAAATTATCTCATATGTGATATTAGAAAAGGTCCTATCATGCATAAATAACTGGTTAAAAAGTAGGAAACAAAGGTTTGGAATAAATGACAATTTTTCAGAGTGGAAGGAGGGATCTGTATGAGACCTATGTTTTTCCGTATGTTCACGAATAATCTGGAAAAGAAAGAGAATGAGATCATGTTGCTTGCCAATGACACTAACTTATGGTAGTCAATACAAATGCTGACGGGCAAGGCTTTCAGAAGTCGTCTGCTAACATGTCAGATTTCTAAAATGACAGATGACATTCACTTTTCTTAGATGCAAAGTAAAGCCTGCCAAGGAAAACAATTGATCAGTGAACCAGCTATTATCACTCAAGAAAGAGGTCTTGGAATTATACAATGCAGGAAGATGAAAGCTCAATTCTCAGCAGCATTCAAAAGAGCAAATTCAATATTATGAAGTACCAGGGAAGGGATAGTAAATGAACTAGAAGCCGATGTTACACTCCTCTATATATGTAAGGTGTGCAGCCACCTTAAATACCTGTATGGAGATTTGGGCCCCCAGATCAGAGATGAAAATGGAAGTAAAAAATATAGAAGAGCAATAGGTAAATGGAAGTTATAGAATGGTCTCCTGGTGATGGGTGATCAAATACAGCAGGATTCGCTGTCCTGTGGAAGAATCGTCAGAGGGGTGATATTACACAGCACTGTAGCGTATTCTATTCCAGACTTCTATGTGGAGAAGGTAAATTTTACATAACAATATTTTGTTGTTTCTTACATCAGAAGTAAGGGTCATCAAATCAAATAACACAGTGCTAAGATCCAGCCAAACACGTGCACTTTTTCCCCAGTGTGCATTTTAGTGCTGATACTCATAGCCTCAGAATGTTTGGGATACCAGATGTTCACAGGGGCTGAATTTTGGAGATGCAATGCAGAAAGGGCCTACAAACACAAGCATGGTCATGTCTTATTTCAACAGAGTTCAAGGCTGAAAAGGACATTGAAATTAAACATCTGTGTAATAAGCATACAATTCTGATATTTGTAATGATCATGGTATGAAGTGGCATGATTTATAGTTTGAAAAGAAGGAAAATGGGGATGATTGGTTATTATCTGTGCAGAGATACTTACATTTATGAGGACAAAAATACACAGAAATTGATAGAGAAAAAGAAGAGCAAGATGACGGAAGAACCTTTTCTCAAATCACATTTCCATATGTCTCATTGACAATTAATGCAAAAATAATTCAAAATCTTCTATTTAGACTCTTAATAAATAAAAAATTACAAATCCCACTGATTTCATTCACATTTTCATTTTTAAGACCCCTCATAGTTATAAGAATCACAAAATACAATGCATACAGAAAAAGGCCTACCTGTCCAAGGTAGTATCAGACCTGTATCGTCCAAGTACAGCTTTCTGATCTTCCTTTTCATTTGTGCTACTGCTATAAAAAAGGTTAGAAATGCCACTTTGATCACTGTTTTTATCACTGCTCATAACCACTCATCAGCAATAAAACAATATAGAAGTCTCAAATTAAGGTATCATACAGGATTTCAGACCATCCAGGTGTCAACAGATCCAACTCTGCATCCATTGCAATGACTGACTTAACAATTATTGATTGCAGAGTCAGATTTAGAGTGGAAAAATGTATAGACTAAAACTGAACAAAGTAAGCTCTTTCTATAAACAGGATATAGTAAAAGGATACTCAGTTTTCTTCAGCAATATCATTAGAAAGATGTTCAGATACTCTACTGTACCTGTGTAGGCTCTCTTGGGATTTGTATTGATTAAGCACAGCCCTTCCATAGTTTTCATCAGCACTTCAAGAAAAGAAAGACAGTGGTTAATTAAAATTTGAATAGTAAAATTAGAAAATGGTTTCTTGACAGATTTCTGTCCTTGATCAGACTTCACAGCTGTCCACTACCACTGTAATCACAGCAGCTAAACGTCTCTGCATTACATGACTGCAGACAATTTGGAGTAAGAATTATCTCTCTACATGCAGTTCATGGGCAAAATAATGAGAGTCTCACAGAGGAGTTTCTACTGTAATACAAGACCTAGTTTGCATTCAATTTCAACTGATTCTGACTTAAGGTCCTTTAAAGAACTTCCCAAGATTTATACTCTTCATGCTTGTGAAAAGAAAAAGTCAGATTGTATTCTTGCAATGTAAATATATGAATTGTGGGATTTTTCTTGTAGAGCAGAAGCCTGACATCTCATTAAATGCTCAACGCTCAGAAGTCCCAACAAAAAGCATGGTCACTGAATGTTCAGCAAACTAAGCCTTCCAGAATGCAATCAATACCTCATCAAGATAGGCAAATAATAGTTAATTGATTAGATGAATGTAATTCTGGTTGATATAATTCATTAAAAAGTGGACACTCTAAGAAAATGTACATGACATACTGAATTAAATACAGAAGGAATATATTTAGTATCTTTTTTACCTTTCCTCTTCAGGCCTCTTCTTTATCCAGCTGTTATCTTGCAAAAGGGTTCGTCGTTTATTAGCATCATGAGTAGCCTGTTGTCTGCTTTTAATTGCAACAGAGGGGCTCTTATTATCTATAAATGCAGAGAAACATGTCTTCAAAATGAACGTATGGGATAACTTTGGAAATTTAAAAGCACTATTGGAAAGGCTGAAATATGTAGAAGTTTAGCAGATTGAATCTTCAGCTATCACTCCTGTTTAGTGCAGAGTGTTTCCTTGACAAGATTTTGGCTTAATCCCTTCAACCTTGAAGAGACCGCAGAAGCTGAGTTTACCAAATTAAATTCAGTTTCATCCTTAATATGAAACAGCTTCATATATTTTTAGTGTAAACAAATATCACAGATCTGATAAAGGAATTATGAAATATACATACAACATTAATCCCAGGAAAGTCAAACTAATGAATTCTGTTTCCTGGGGTGTTGTCTGTGGTTTTTGTATTTGCAGATGTGTGATGGGATGCAAATTTTGAAGTTAATCTTGAGATGACCACATGATCCTCCACCTACATCCAGCCCAACATATGTGGATTTTCAGGTTTCTCAGAAGGGTCAGGCTCCCTCTGAAGCTTTTTCCTCAGTGGCTGAATAAACAGGATCATTTCTAGCCAGCTATCTAGTTTTAGTGAACTTTTAATAAAAGCAATACCTTTAAAATCTATATCTTTATGTCAAATATAGCTAAATTGGTGTATAGTTTCAAAGGTTATTGAGAGGGACAGCCAGACATGCACACTCACATACTGTATGAAAACTTACGAAAAAATCTAAAATATCTTTGCCCAACAATGGTCATATTTAGTATATTGAGGAACCAACAACATGATGTTCACATTATTTGTGAGAATATATATTGCTCACTGTATTAGAAAGTTCATGTCTTCCTCTTTTGGTTTTGCTTTATGAAGGGTTTGGCCCAGAAGCAAGCAAAAATATTCAGTAACTGTTGTCCAGTATTCTTGGTTCTTTTTCTTCCCACCTAAGTTTCATATCATCAGCCTGTTTGAGGAGAGGGAAATATTGTACCTTTTTTAAGTTTTCCCTTCAAAATGGAGCACTAGAAGTTGAACCCAAATGGAAACTCCATTTTTAAATTGTGATACTTGCCTCAAACTTTCCCAGACAAAAGAAGGTGAAAAATTAAACATGCAAAAGCTTTGTCAGTAGTATCCAATTAATCAATTAACTGACTGATGAATACTGAGTTTCTTGGGTTTTCCTGTAGAGACCTTCAAAATTTTCTCCATCAGTTCATCTCTCTCTGAGCATCCACACAAAAGGAGTTCAACATCATTAGATTTCAGGAGACATCATGATCTGTTGTTCAGTAATGACATTTGACTGTAAAGACTGTGTATAGAAAACCCACACTTCACAGAAAATACATGCAGTCAGTATTTTCATTTGTCAGAGGTGTGTTTTGGCATTCTGCTGTGATTTATAAGAAAATGTAGTTCTTGCTTTTAATACAAGAACTTCGGCTGTAGTGATAACATGAAAAATGACAAATAGCTACATTGAGTGGAAAAGCAAGTCATAATAAAGCATCAAAACATTCATTTTATGACTGGCTTTTTAAATACATTTTTCTCATGAAAGAAAAACATTGCAGTACAAAGATATAATTCAGTCTAAAAATGTAAATCTGACTGTAATCCAAATTGTGTCTGCTCTTATCTGTTGCAATTCACTGAAGATATGTCTATACTGCCAAATAAAAGAAGGCCAATGAAGGGATTAAATGAATGGCTTCATCCTTCATGTTTGCCTAGTTACAAATGTTCTCTGGATCTGTGTCAGACTAACCTTCTCCAAAACTGAGCTGGTAGAGTAGTGACAAACATTTAAAAGGCATGGCTGTGACAGCACAGATGTGTGCTGCTGTCTCTTGGCCCTGATGCCAAGGTTTGGCTTGTGGTTTTTGTGTTTGGTTGGTTGGTTGGTTTGGTTGGTTTTAGTTTTGGGTTTTTTTTGAGCAGCGTAGATGCAGCCCTTTGAGATCATTCAGCAATGAACAGACAAACCAAAGATGAGCTTTATAAGAATGTGCTGACAATCACAGTAGATTAAGAACAAAAGGTCATCTACCCTCACTACATGATTTCTGCATCAGCCTGTTCACTGCCAATTAATCTAGTTTTTCTCTTAAAAATATTTATTAAAGTCTGACTTTAAAGACTTCCAAAAATGAAGTCATCTCAGCCTTGCCTGCATAGCTCCAGTGGTTCATTAAAATATCAAATAAAATTAACACTTCTTGTAAACCAAAAGGAGGAAGAACCTACACCAGTTTAAACAACAGCATTGTCTCATAGACACTGTCAAGAATTTAGAGGGTTGTAATTGACAAACAAAACTAGACTAAGTGCATTTTCTCTAAATATATATTTTTTAATATACTGATAATACTAGTCATGACTGGGATATAATAGGGACTTGGATGAACATATCTAGATAGAAAAAAGCCCTTGCAACATTCAATAATCAAAGATTTGAATGAATATCCATTAGTAAAAACTGTACCTTCCCATTCTCATAAATATTTAAATATCTTAATTTGATACAATCATTTGCATTGGGAAAAAAAAAAGATAATTTTTGAAAGTAGGAAAAATATGAGTTCAAGTATATGCATTCCAGACATAAAAATTCTCTGCAGCTAGGATAGCTGATGGCAGCTGAAAGTATGGAAATAATTCCAGCATTCCTTTCATGCTAATAGTTTTAGCTAAAGATGCTTTCAACCATCTGCAGTACATTTTAATCTGTGCTCTACTGTCAGCCATAACCTCCTCTGAATCTTGAAGAAAAACTCTTCAATGATACAAACATAAGCATTTCTATACATTCAGGAGATACTCAGTATATATCCAACTATTAAAATTAACCTTGCATGTGCAATATTGACTTTTTTCCAAAAGCATTTTAGGAAAACTGTTATCACCTACCCAAAAATCACTTGGATTTCACAGAAATCATGTCTTTCTGAATTGTTTAGTGCAAACAAGGTTTTGGGAAATCTCCTATAAAGACAGTAGCTGAGGAATATATACTGTGTTTTCTTTTCAAGAAATGTCACAAGCAGTTTGCTAATGTGTGAGACCTTGGGTTTGCTGAAGAGTACTCATTTCTGGTCTAATAAATTGTCTCCTGAGTTCCAATTAAAAAATTAGATATGGAGCTGACACAACAGTTCAGGTCACACAAGCACAGGCAGATGGAGCTTTTCTCCTTCTTATTTTGGCAATAAAAACTTTATGTCCTTAACATGGTAGAGCCAAGCTCCTTCCTGCCATGGCTGCACGCATTTCAGTGTACCTAGACCTGGCATGTCCCACCCAAACCAGGTCCTTGTGCACCTCAAAACTTTTAAGTCTTTAGAAATATTTGTAGGTTTTGGGGAAATGGAAAATTTTATTATATTTCCGGTTTGTCTCCGGTCATTTCTCTGCACAAAAAGCAAACTCCAGCCATCCTCGAGTATTGTTCCTCCAGAACAAGCAGTCCCATCTGACAATGATTAAATAGCTTTTCTCTCCCCTCCCCCATACTACTTTTCCTCAATTTCTCCTTATTTCCCCTGAGTGAGTCAAAGAGACAGTGCTGAGATCGTAGGATACCCGGTCTGCCCACCACCCTCCCAGCTGCCATGCTCCTGTGGAGTTTCCACAGCAACCACAGGCCTCCATGGAGGGAACCGCCATTTTGCACCACACTGCCAAGCTCCGCCGGGTCCGCCATACTACACTGCCCACTGTAGTGTTTTGGCCTGAATCTCTGCCAGCAAAAGCTACACCTTTGCGCCTGAAGTGGGTCCTACTGTGATTCTAATAACCAGGCTGTCACCTGGCGGTGGTGTGCCCCGTGAGGGAGCTGCATGGTGGGCACGGTGGTGCTCAGAAAAGAGGGAGGCCATGCCTTAATCTCTCAAGTACCCTAAGAGCAGAAAATGAAGGAGACTCCGTATTACCGCTTTGATTAGGAGACTCTTTTCGTACGCTGAAAGCTGACATTTGGTTCAGTGGGCTGTCCTTCTGTGGGAATCTAAAAGAAAGCATGGGAAAAAAAAAAAAGTGAGAGTTGACAGTGACATTAGGAATCAACCCCAAAATCATTTTTAGTTTGTTTGCCGCTTTGATCACCTCCTCACGCAAGTTTTGTCTGATGGAGTGGAATGACTAGCTCTAGCTGCAGCCCTCCTTGAAATGAAGCTCAGGCACAGAGGTGGCTTTTCCCTCCCTGGTGATGACAATGTGTACTCCTGCCCTGTGCTTCTGCCAGTCACACCACCTCTCCCTCCTTTTCCTTGCTGGGACCTCCTTCCCTGAGAACACGTTGAGTGACATGTGGTGAGAATGAAGAATGGGGCGAGGTGATTATTTTTAATGGGAAGATGCTATCAGCGTGTGGCTCAGAGCGGCGCCTGGAGCACACATTGGTTCACCCAGCCTCACTGACGGGTCTCACAGCTTCAGTGGCCTGTGGGGGTCCAGGAGAGTGGTGGTTCTTCTGCCCTGCAGCTGTTTCCCAGTCACTGACTTCTTCCCTTATCTCAAATCATGTTAAAAAATGAGCCTCCAAGACTATGGATTTAAAAAAATAATAGTAAATCTTTGGGAGTTGAGCCACTCAAAAGATTTCTTGTTATGCTTTGACACTGCGTTTTGAATATTAGCTTTTCTAGAGAAAGCATCATGCAGAACGTAATGACATTTTAATAACAAAAAATTCCCCCTTAAGAAAAAAGAAAAAGTGATCCTAACATTGACTTAGGACTGTGGAAAAAAACCTGATGGTCCCAAGCAAAATGATTCCTTTTGAAAAGCAGAATTTTCCAAGAAAATGTTAAGCTGGAAAGCTCCCAACTAGCTCCACTGGTCAGGCTGCTAAAATTTACAGAAGCACCAGAAAACAGTTTCTGTAACAGAAGCAGTTGTTAAAAATCAGAACCGTGCCCAGTTTTCTGTGTGACATGGTTGTCCTCTGTTTTTTGGCAGATTTAGAGTTCATTGCTCACTCATCTAATAGCATGGATTGAGACACCAGAGCTTGTGCCTGGTTTTTTACTGACAGAAGCTGAAGAAGTTGAATTTTGTCGAAAGCTTAGCAAAAATACTATAAGTAATGCTGATAATGAAGCATATAAAAATAATGGATGCCATTAGGAATTGCATTTACAGCAGATTTTGGAGGTTTATGTTTTTATTGCCAGACAATTGCTAAAAGAGCTTATGATTTCCAAGAAAAGAAAGCAGGAAACCAAAATCTGGACATAACCAAATGCAATTCTTTTTACAAAGAAAAGATATAAATTCAAAAATAATATTGGAATGTAAAAGTCTGCATATATCTTACCCAGTTGTGAAATTCCAGATGTTTACAAGAGTTTAAAATTCTGGCATGTTGATTGGAAGGCTCTAACCCACACTCCTTTCTTTTAACTTTAGTTCTTGGTATCAAGCATACACACATGTGTGTGTAGAAAACATCTGACTGCTGGATCTGGTTCCCACCCAATAAAAATATGCTCCGAGCTATGGTGAGCCTTATTTGTTTTGCAATAGGTTATAAAATATCTTGCAAATTACTGATATAAGGTTTTAGGCAGCTCTGCACTGAATTTCGTAGAAACTGTTCAGGTAGGTTAACAAGCCATCAGTTTCAGATAATAGCCATAAATTTTCCTGAACTGTCACAAGATGATAGAGAGGACTCTGATATATTTAAGTTTTCAGCTTAGCAACAGCTGGACATCTGGTACTGGTCTTTATTTGAGTCAGGATAATAGGAAGTTTGACATTTCAGTATATTTCACAAGCAGTGAGTGCTTGCCCTTCTTCATCTGGAGAAAAAAACCCAGTAGTTTTGTATAGAAGGAACTTGGCTTTATTTTCTAATAAAAATTTTTAAAGTTGTTTCCTGAGGCAAGTGAATCATACAACTTTGAATACAGAGAGTTCTTTTGTGGAAATTAAACCAAATGTGGCCATGAGGCTTAGAATATCTTGTTTAAAATGCATATTTTGCAATTTAATTGTTTCATATTAAAAATAGCAAGAAACTGCTATGTGGACTTTATGCTGTATGATGGGAACTGAAATTTCTCACAGATCTAGCAAGAAAGTATCATACACCTTTGTTAAAAATAAACAAGAAAACCTCAGCTATTTGTTCTGAAATATAAATTATCTTCAAACTAAAAATGCCGTACAGTTTAAGGCTTGTCTTTGAAACCTACAGAATAACAACAAATACATTAATGACACGGAGACCCTGAAAAGCAACTGGAAAGTGGGTTTGCAATTCCCTCTTGTATCCTTGCATGACAAAAGAAATTCCAGCAAAGATCTCAAATCAGTCCAGAGAAGGCATGATTTTTTCATCCTTCATCATTTAATTGAAATGGTGTTTTGGCTCTTGTCCTAGGTTCATTTTTTAATGTTTTTAGGGTAAAACAATATTTCTGTTGCACCTGTGTACAACATCAAGAATAAACTACTACCTGGTCTCCAAGCCTGAAAGCAGTATACATAAACAAGTATGCACACTCCCTTTTACAGTCACCGCTGAAAATGTGCCAGATATTATGAAATTTTAAATCCAGGCATTTTAGTCTTACAGAATACTGCTATATTGTCCTTAAGGTTTACTTCTTGCTGGAGAACTTTTACACTGTGCATCTAAGATTAATTCTTTAAAATCCCAAATGCAAATTAAAAAATAATCCTCCTTTAATTTCTAGCACAGATGATCAAGAATCAATATAGTAAGGTTTAAATTTCAAGATCTTAGAAGTGAATCTTGTGTGAAGAGGCAGTATACAACTCTGCAAAGCATTTTTTTCTTGGTTTTTGCTATTGTGAATTAAGTTTGCATATGTGTCTGTGTATGTGGAAAGGGGAATGGACAGGAGACTGTGAAGATCACATTAATTTAAAGACTTGAGCTCATAAAGATTTGGAAATACCACATTGTTACCACAGGTCAGTGAACTGTTTATTTTCAGCCCATAGTTCAGGGGAGAGAAAAAAGCAGTTTTTAACTTTGCAAGTGAGATTGTGAGAAAGAGAAGTTATGGGCTTCTACACTGTAGTAGTAAATTATGTTCAGGCATTCTTAAGATCTCAAACACTGAAGCAAAACAACTCAGCTGGAATGCAAAACAAAAACAAACAGGCATGCAGCTCCAGTGTAATTTGAATTTTAAAAGAGCGTCAGGAAACTTTAAAGGAAAATTAAAACTGCCCCAGCCAGTCCAATGACCAGTTCTCAAAAGGTTTTAAGACATGCCAATCCTAGATTCAGACCTTTCCCCTATTTTTGGGAAATTAAAATACAATCCCAAAGAAATCCAGAAAAAACTTAGACGTGACCTCAGGGAAAGTCAAATGCTCCTCCTAGCTGGTAGCAAGTTATTCAGAAAGCATCACAGCTCTCCAATTCTATTTTTATCACAAACAGCCATGTTTACACTACTACACCTCCTTTCCACATTCTATAGTGACTGGTCAGCAGAAGACCTCAGGCCTGCCTTAATTTCTCAAAGCTAGACCTTTTAGTTCTCATCTGGTCTGAACACACCCATTCTTCCAACCCAGAGTCTTCTTGCCTTCCTTCTGTTCTTGGCTGTAGCTTTCTATGTAATTAGGTTTCACATATATGTATTGCTGTATTTTAAAAATACATAAGAATAATAGAAACATTTCCTGCAAGAATCATGTTTTCCACATCAGACTGAACTAGTTATAACCAAAAAAAGCCTTTGATCTTTAGCTTCTAGCTATGACAGTGATTAAGACCTTATTTATAAATATTCAGATTATATATGTATTTTGCTTTGAATAAACAGTATTTCTTTCCACAGCTTAGAGGTACTGCATATCATCAAACTGTACAATAAGTAATTCAACACAGTAGATGTTGAGTGAGTGTTGAGGGAGGTACACCTTCTCTTAAAAGTCAAAACATTTGGGTTTATACTGTTCTTTTCACAAATGTAAATGCCTAAACAATCAAAGTTCCAACTATTACTAATGAGCGGGGTGATATAAAAAGTTGTAGATGAACAACTAGTTTAAAACTAAACAGTTTCAGAATTTTCTTGTCTTCCGACTTCTTGTGCTGTGTTGCTAAAGCGGTGTGGGTTGTCCAGAAGTCACTTGACTTTGGCATGTCCATGTAAAATGCCATCTGGAATAAACAGCTTCTTATATATGGCTCTACACAGCCACAGCTTGCTGACTACTGTTTGCTTCATGTCTTTAGAGTTCCAATTTTTCAAACATGTCTTAATATCCACCATTTGAAAAAGAAAATAAACAGATACTTTGTTCTTTCTTATCCCAAATAACTACCTTTCCGCCAAAATTTCATCCACTTGAAGGACGATTCTGCTCTGAAGTACACTGAACATTCAGTGCCTTGTGAGTAATCAGAGCTCAAAATTTTACAATGATTCCAATAGACATTTAATAAAAGGTTAGGAAATTATTTTTCAACATCCTGTGTGCTTTAACCCGTTTTCTTGCTTCCGCTGCAGCCCAGGAGAATTTTGGATAGAATAACTGTTGGTGAGCAAATGAAATGAAGGCTTAGTTCAGCGTTACTTTACAATTATTTATTTATTTTTGCCACTGGATTTGTTAATGTTAATTTTATCCTACCTGGCTTATATTTCATTTATGTGGGATGAATGTGGAGAATACGGGCTCAAATTGAAAGTGAGGAGGTTTAGATTAGTT